TCTTGAAGGCAATTAAGCCAGTTGATTGTTTTCCTTATGTGTTCATTAAAAGGATTTGGAAGAACTTAGATAAATTTTTATGTAAGTTTAAATAGTTAAGTATATACTTTCTGGTATATTGTAAATATTAACACTTTAAAACTATTTCACCTTTTTTAGTGTATCCAATGGATTCCAAATGTCATAGTGATTTGATATTCACCATCATCATTTTAGAAAAAACAGGTACTTTACATTTTAATGTTGCAATGATTACAGATTCACAGGAAGTTGCACAGATAGTACAGAGTGGCCCAGTATACCTTTCTAAGTTAAAAAAAAAAAGAATTTAGAAAAACAACTTTCTTGTGATGAATTTTTGGTACAGCCCAACTCTGAAAAGCAGTTTGTCGGTTTCTGTGAAAGACTAACCATGAGACAGCATAGGACCAAGCATTTGTACTCTTGGGCATTTATCTCAGAGAAAAGGAAACATGTTCATACAAGAACCTGTACACAGATGATCACGGCAACTTTTTTCATGATAGCCCCAAAGTGGAGACAATCCAGATGTCTTTCAGCGGTGGATGGTCACAGTGACTGTGGTACATCCACGCCATGGATGCTACTCAGCAATAGAAAGACGTGAACTGTTAGACACCAGTTAGGTGGACCTAAAAGGCATCATCCTGAATGAAATAATCAGTCTCAAAAGGTTACCTACCTATATTTCCACTTATATAATATTCTCTAAATAACACAATTAGAGAAATGGAGAACCACTCATCTGAGTGGTTGCCAGAGGTGAGGGATGGCGAGGATAGCTGTGAACATGAGTGGTGGCATGAGGGAGATCTTTGTGGTGATAGAATAGCTCTGTATCTTGATTGCAGTGGTGATTACAGGACTCTTTGCATGTAATAAAATGACATTGTACACATATATTGTACAAATGTCAATTTTCTGGTTTTATCATTGTGCTATAATTATGTAAGATGTGACCATTGGGGGAACCTCAGTGAAAGGTACACTGAACTTTAATGGTCACATTCTGAAAGCATAATATACTTGGAACTTACCACACTTGCCTGTAGAGGGGAGTCTTAAATTTGGTTAAGAGGTTTTGAATAGAAATAGACAAGACGACTACATGTATCTTAGATCCCTTCTAAGTCCAAGATTCAGTAATAGATTCCTGAGCAGGATGAAAAACAGAGTGGCCAAATTATAGCTCTGTGAGCAACCTGAATTCAACTAAATGATTTTCTGGAAAACTCAAGGAAATCCTACAATACTAAATATGCTACAATACTAAAAACGCATACTGGGGGCTGGCCCTGTGGCATAGTGGTTGGTCTGGTGCACTCTGCTTTGGCAGCTTGGGTTCGCGGGTCTGGATCTCGGGTGTGGACCTACACCGCTCACCAAGCCATGCTGTGGTGGTGACCCACGTGCAAAGTGGAGGAGGACTGGCACAGATGTTAGCTCAGGGCTAATCTTCCTCAGGTGAGGGGTGGGGGGAGGAAGATTGTCAACAGATGTTAGCTCACAGTGAATCTTCCTTACAAAAAAATGCATATTGATTTATTTCAGGAAACACTCTTTGAGTACCTACTAAATACGATTCAGTGCTAAAATAGAAGAGATAAAGATGAATAAATATACTACTTGTTATTTTATACTGCAGTGTAAGCTGCATGAGAGCATAGATTTTTATCTGTTCTATTCATGTATCATTCCTAATATTTAGGCTAGTATCAGCACATAATAGGCACTAAATAAAAATTGCTGAATGAATTGGATTCTCCCAAAGAGCTTAGAGTCTGATAGACAAGCCAAGATAGATATGAAATTAAGTAGGAACAACAACATGTGATAGATGCTCTAACAGATTTCCCTTTGTTCTCCTTCCAAAAAACCCTTTGCTTAGCCTTAAAGAATGTCATCTCAGTGTGAGTGTTCTGATAGCACTGGGAGTCAGCGTGTACACAGATAAACTCCAGCAGCCACTATTTCAAGGCTGCCTTCCAGACCCCATTTCCTCACTGGTTATGGCACGGTCTCCCCAGGCATCGGATAGTATTCCCGATGAGTTACTTATGTCTTCAAGCGTTAGGTGTGTGGTTTCCAATCTTCGTAGCACTATTCTTTTATACACGTGATTTCTATATCTTACAATGGGATCCTGGGCTGTTGGGGATAGGCACAGTAAGGAGTTATAAATATTTATAAATTTAAGAATTGTTTAGGAATAGGACAAAAATTCTGAGGGCTCTCATCTTGGGACCGTATTAGACCTGGGGCCCAGCTGTCGTGAATAGTCACTTAAGCTAGAACTTCACTTGCTTGAAGTGGTCCTTTATTCTTTTATTTATTTATTTATTTAAGATTGGCACCTGAGCTAACATCTGTTGTCAATCTTCGTTTTTTTCTTCTTCTTCTCCCCAAAGCCCCCCAGTACATAGTTGTATATTCTAGTTGTGAGTGCCTCAGGCTGTGCTATGTGGGACGCCGCCCCAGCGTGGCCTGATGAGTGGTGCCATGTCCGTGCCCAGGATCCAAACTGGCAAAAGCCTTGGCTGCCAAAGTAGAGTGTGTGAACATAACCACTCGGCCACGGGGCCAGCCCCTGGTCCTCTATTCTTGAATCTTCTTGGGACATACTGTCTTCTAGGATTGGCACAAGCAGCTGCCTGTGAGACTTATCAAGGGTAGTTGGGCAAGAGAGAGGTCAGGCAAGGCCTCATTGAGAAGGACAGAGCATTCACCTCTTTGCCGCAGTGTAGAGGGATAAGAGCAGTGATTATTTCCATTATCTGGGGCTCTGTTACCTTAGCTTCTCTTAGGTTGTAGGAAACAAACTGGCTTAGTTTATGTTAGGGCTTTATTGTAGAGAATTTATCTCAGTTGGCCTTCGTGAAAATTCGATGTTGCCAACACTAGAGTAACTTTAGTGTTAATCTTTGTTGTCCTTTAGTTCGTCTGATATAAACTCTAGTGTTTCCACCATTTTGATGAGTCGGCTCCTCTCTCCTTGTGCTCTGGTTCAGCTCCTTCTCTGCTGACTGGACACTCTCTCATTCCTTCTCTTACTTCTCTTAGCTTCATACTCCTTAAGAGAATGGCTCAGGCTGCCTTGTCCAATCATTATCAAGCTGGGAAAAGCCCTCGGAAGTTACCTCTAAGACTCCTTAGGTGGTCTTTGGGTCGGAAGTTGATCCCTGGTCATAGTCCCTTGTAACCAGAGTTTCGGTGTCTCAACACCTAAATTATAGCGATCATACTGAACTGTCTGTGGCCACTTTCTTTAGAAGGACCTTGTGTGGCCTTGGTAGACATTCAGAGCATCATATCTTATTCTCCATTAATGGGTCACTGGCAGCTTTCAGACTGAAGGAAAAGTAGAAAGTGCTACAAATGCAGGGGCTGTATTTCTGGCCTCCAAAAGGAATAGCCCATGGTTAACCAAAACAGAACAGAGTTATCTTCACTTGTCCTGGTTCTGCAAGCTTTTGTAGCAGTGAGTGCTTTAGAAACTAACTCACTCATGTATATTATGCTTCTGATTTTTATCCCTTTTGTTAGATTCTTTAAGGCTTTTGCTATAATTAATGAAATCTTACTAAATAAGAGAGAAAGGATCACAATGTATACTGGGAGTGTATATATGTAGCTGAACCATTACATGAGATTAAAAAAAGGAAAAGAATGGATTGTTGTGACCTGCAGCCCACCTCATGGACAAGGAGTTAGAAAGCAACTTAGAGTGCAAGGCTTTCTGCACATTTTCTTTAGCTGGCATGGAAAGCTAAGATCCTGAGACCTTAATAAGGGTTATGTATGAAGGCCTTCTTTGGGGATGGGTATATTTTCCTAGAGGCCAAGTAGCTGAAGAATGGAATTTCGTAGGTGGTCAGTGTCCCTTCTGATGCACTGACCTTCTCTTCAAGATAATAGGTTAAGAGGGGCTGGCCTGGTGGTGCAGCAGTTAAGTTCGCATGTTCTGCTTTGGTGGCCCAGGGTTCGCCAGTTCATATACCGGGTGCAGACATGGCACCACTTATCAAGCCATGCTGTGGCAGACGTCCCACATATAAAGTAGAGGAAGATGGGCACCGGTGTTAGCTCAGGGCCAGTCTTCCTCAGCAAAAAGAGGAGGATTGGCAGCAGATGTTACCTCAGGGCTGATCTTCCTCAAAAATACAAAAATAGAGGAGGATCGACACAGACGTTAGCTCAGGGCCAATCTTCCTCAAGGAAAAAAGAAAGATAATAGGTTAAGAAATTGTGCGACCATGATAGACTGGTTTCTAATGTTTGCTGAAATGTGGGTAGTCAGATGCTAGTTTTGAAAGGGATTACCATGCAAATAGCATATCTTGATTTCACCCTTAGCTTCATTCAATTTAGCTTCATGAAAGTCGCCATGTTATTATTTTTCTCATTTTACCAAAGACTGGTGAAAACTTTTCATGAATGGCAATGTCTGGGTTAGATACATGTCTAATACAGTAAGGTGGTCTCTTAGCCAGTTGGTAACTATACCTAGAGAGTGTTGATGCCATCCTGAAGGGAAAGTACCAGGCCAAGAGTTTGGACGGCATCAGATCCACTGAGAGTGCCTTTGCTGGATTTGAAGCCTAGAAGAGGCAGGAGGGAAGAATGACAAGAAGGCCCATGTGTCTGGATGATGCCTGTTGGAAGGGTTAACAGTGACTCTAAGCAGGAAGGAAATACGGAGAGGAAAAGTCTTTAAAGTCCTAGCGGCTTTGTTCTGGGACTAAGAAGGAAAGTGAATTCTCAGGACTCTTGTCTTTCTCTGCGTCCTTCCCAGTGAAGGGCACCCTGAGAGAAAGCCGTCAGCTTGCTGCGTCTAGGAGACTTTGTTCTGGGATCTCTTTTCCCGTCCTCTCTGGTTAGTGGTTGTGGCCTACATAGCAGGGAACGACCTGACGCAGTCCGAGGCTTCTCTGCCGTTTGAGAGTTGCATTGTCTCTGAGTTTTTTTTTTTTTTTCTTCAGGCTGCTTGACAGGGGCTGTGAATCTCAAATCCAGCAACCGAAACCCAGTGGTACAGGAATTTGAAAGTAAGTACAAGGGAGACTGTTAGGAGAATGGCACCATCTAGTGGACGTGTGTAGTCTTGCAGCCGACGTAGGACAAACACACACGGTGCCAGAGAGACGTGCGGGTGGGTGGCTACCCAGCAGTGCTTTTGCCGAGCAAGTGTGTCAGGGAAGCTCCACTTCCGCAGGCCAGGCAGCTCTGCAGCTGTTCCGTTGGCCAGCAGCTGCTTCCTGCCCTGGCTTTATGTTGACACAGCAAAGAAATTTCTTATAGACAGCAGAGTATGAAGGGAGAGCCTGTGCTCTATTTAGTACAAGTCCTTGCTAATCATCTTCATTCTTTTCTGGCTAACATTCATCTCTTCTTAAAGTCTCTCAGAGCCGGGCTGCAGCTAGATTCTCAATCTGCACGAAGACCTCTCTCGAACTAGAGGCAGCTTACAGAGTCCAGGTTTACAAGTGGACCGGGAATTGTGCCACATTCACTGAGAGGTCTTTCTTTTCTTCCTTTGCTCATTAGGTGTGGAACTGTCCTGTATCATCACGGATTCACAGACAAATGACCCCAGGATTGAATGGAAGAAAATTCAAGATGACCAAACTGCATATGTGTTTTTTGACAACAAAATTCAGGGTATGATCCTGTGGTCCATTGGACACAAGGCCCAGGCATGCACTTGTGGCCAAAGATGTTCCTCTGATGGTCCTGCATCTGTAGCCAGGATTGTTTGTTCTGTTTTACTTATGAAAAATTTAAACATATGCAAAAAGTAATGAGACTAGTATGTTGAACCCCCTGTACCTGTCACCCAGGTCCAACAAATAATAGTTCATGAGTTAGGATTTTAATCCATCTGCAACTCATCTTTTTGAGGTATCAGAGAGAACATTTTCCTAGGCCTTCTTCTTCTCATGGTCCCTGATGTTAGTGATGTGAGTGCATTAACCAGAAGGGTGACGTGGACCAGGGAGACAGCAGGCCGTTCCTGGCATCTGGTCTGCACACCCACCACGTTGAGAAAGTCTGTGCTGGACCAGTTAGCAGGGTATCACCCCTGGGCTGGAAGAGAGGGAAGCACAGGGTGCTCTCAGATTACGTGAAGTAAGGGCAGGACTGGTGGTCAGGGAAGGCTTCCCAGAGGTGACATCTAGGCAGAGATGTGAAAAAAGGCTGGTTAGCCAGGCAGGATGGTTCAAGGCTGGGGAGAAAGGTGTTGGGCGAGAAGCAATGTTGTGTATAAAGATGTAGAAGCCAAAGGTAGCTTGGCTTATTGGAGAAAGTGCAAGTTTTCCACCACAGCTGGAGCTTAGAGAGGGAGCAGTTGGGAGGAGTGACTCCAGATAAAGCAGGAGAGGTATGCCAAGGCCAGAGAAGAAGCATTGAATGCCAGGCGAGAATGAATCTTGAGGGTCCACTGAAAGATTTTAAGAGGGAAGTGACATGATGACATTTATGCTTTAGAAAGACTGAATTGGCTACTCTGTAGAGAAGAGATTGGAGATGGGCAAAACTTGGAGCAGGGGTACAGATTTAAAATTTCCCTGCAGAACCCAGGAGGGAGCTGCTGGTGGCCTGAGCTCAGGTCGAGGCAATGAGGAGAGAGACTAAAGAGTAGGAGTGGTAGGAGCTGGCTGTGACGAGGGAGGAAGAGGAAGGACTTAGAGCAGGTGCAAAGTGGCCCTTCCTTCCACGTGGCGGAGGGAAGAAGCAGGTGAGAGGTGCAGGTGCAGGTGCGGGTACGGGCGAGGGAGAGGTGGGCTGGCTTCAGGGTTCTCCGAGCAGCTGCGAGGGAGGTTTCAGAGGAGGGAAAGCGGGTTTGTGGACACAGCCATCAGGAGTCGTAGGCTGTCCAACAGAGTTTGTTTCCCACCAGTATCCTCCCCAACTTCTTATTTTTGAAGAGATGGAAATGTTATTCTCAGAAAACAAATCAGTTTTCTTGGCAACTTTGGCTGCTCCCAATAAACCCTGTACATGCAATTTTGATCCTCAGAGATACAAAGTGGGAATTTTCTTTAAAGAACTTTCTGTTTCTGGGAATTAAACACTTTACTCTTAGCCAGAGGGATGGGGAGAGTATTTACCACACAAAATATGAGGGCTGGAAGAAACCTGGAATCTACTCAGTCTCTTCTCCTGCCTCAAAGCAGGACTGTACCAAAAGCACCCTGATGGATTTTTACTTACTGTTTTCTCACATGGTTACGTGGTAGAAATTCTCATCCTTCTGCTAATGACAACTGGATAAGAGACCTTCCTACTGGAAACGCCTCTGGAACTGTTCAGTCTCTACCATAAGCACTTCGCTGTTTTATTATATTATGGTAAATCCTTTGTATGCTTGTCACCAAGCAACAATTTAGTAATAATTAGTTTTTATTTTTTGTCTTTTTCCCCCTAACTCCTTATTTGCCATTCTCCAGGTTGTTCATGCTTCTTTGAAAGAGTTAGTGTCTTTTTATGCTTTAAATTTTTTTTATTGATATATAATTCATAAAGCATAAAACTCACTCTTTTAAAGTATATACTTCAGTGGTTATTCTGTATTCAACAAAGATGTGCAGCCATCACCACTATCAAATTCCAGAACATTTTCATCAGCCCCAAAAGAAACCCCATGTCAATTAGCATTCACTCTTCACCTGTGCCCCAACCTTCTGGCAACCACTAATCTACTTCCCGTCTCCATGGATTTGCCTACTCTGGATGCTTCATGGAAATAGAATCCTATAATATGTGGTCCTTCATGACTGAAATCTTTCACTTAGCATCTTGTTTTCAAGATTCATCCATGTTGTAGCATGTGTCAGCACTTCATTGCCTTTTATAGTATTCCATTGTAGATATGCCATATTTTTCTCCATTCATCAATAGATGTACATTTGGGTTGTTTCTTCTTTTTGGCTATTTTCAATATACTGCTATGAACATTCATGTGTAGGTTTTTGTGTGAACAGAAGTCTTCATTTCTTGGGGATAAATGACCAAGAGTACAATTGCTAAGTCATATGCTAGTTGCAAGCATAGTTTTTTAAAGAAACTGTCTAACTGTTTTCCGGAGTGGCTGTACCAATTTGTATTCCCTCAGCAGTGTGTTTCCCCACATCCTCACTAACACTTGTAATTGTCCATCTTTTTGACTATAGCCCTCTTAGTGGGTGTGATGTGGTATGTCATTATGGTTTGATTTGCATTTCCTGATGACTGATGGTGTTGAGTATCTTTTCATTTGCTTGTTGGCTGTTTGTTTATCTTCTTTGGAGAAATGTCTGTTCAAATCCCTTGGTCCCTTTTTAGTTAGGTTATTTGTCTATTAATTGTTGAGTTGCAGATTCTTTATATATTCTGGACACTAGTCCTGTGTCAGATATATGATTTGTAAATATTTTCTCCCATTGAGTGGGTGGTTTTTCACTTGCTTGTGTCCTTTGAAGCATAACAGTTTGTAATTTTTTATGAAAGTCCAATGAAGGCCAATATAACTATTTTTTCATAGTTATTCTTGTGCTTTTGATGTCATATCTAAGGAATTTGCCTAATGCAAGGTCATGACAACTTGTTTTTCCTTAATATTTTCATAGTTTTAGCTCTTGCAGTAAGGTCTTGGTTGTGTGTGGTGTCAGGTAGGGTCCAGCTTCATTCTCTTGCACGTGGATATCCAGTTGTCCCAGCTCATTCGTGGAATGCTGTTGTTTTTTAAATACTGTTTGTTTCCTTTGATCTCTTCTTTTCTGGAGAATCCCTGCCAGGAATAATGGAAAGGAAATGAGGTCCCTGCTTTCCCAGCAGAGCTCCTGTAATGAGTTCTCTTACACACCAGGGCTGTTTTGGTGCATGGTGTCCTCAGGGCATTCACCTCTGTTATATGGGAATTAAATGGAAACCAGTCTGCAGTCTTCCTTCTGAGGTGTCACATGCTGGCCCAGGAAACCCTCTTCTTCAGGTGGCAACCATGTCTTCAAAGAGTCTTGTAGTGCCCTGTGTCTTCTTTTCTGTAGGAGACTTGGCGGGTCGTGCAGAACTGTTGGGGAAAACCTCCCTAAAGATCTGGAACGTGACCCGGACAGACTCGGCCATTTATCGCTGTGAGGTGGTTGCTCGAAACGACCGCAAAGAAATTGATGAGATTGTCATTGAGTTGACTGTGCAAGGTAGGAGTTGCAACCCATCCCCTCTAGGCCTCAGAACTGTGTGCCGAATAAAACCATCAGCTCTTACTTCCTCTCCTTCTGGAGCTGCATCCCTGAGGGTGTCACACGACTTAGGGAGGGAGAGCTTGTGAGAGCTGAGACTGCCTGAGTTGGGTGGAAGGTGAGAAGGGAAGTGGCGCTTGGGGCACTCCTCGGGGGGGGATACATTGGAGACGGGCGGTGGGACTGTATGTGGGCAGGTGAACTGCAGGGGCGGGTGCAGGCGGCAGATCAGTCTGCAGGCGTGACAGTGGGGACGGCTGTTGTGCAAGAATCTTTTGATTGGCTTCATTTTTGGAGCCAACTTGTTGCAGCATTTGATAAGAATAGAGGCATGTTGCTGACTTTAAACACCAACCCGTATTTCTCGTACAGTGAAGCCAGTACCTCCTGTGTGCAGAGTGCCAAAGGCTGTACCAGTGGGCAAGTCAGCGACGCTGCACTGCCAGGAGAGTGAGGGCTACCCCCGGCCGCACTACAGCTGGTATCGCAATGACGTGCCACTGCCCACAGACTCCAGAGCCAATCCCAGATTTCGAAATTCCTCTTTTCTCTTAAACCCTGAAACAGGCACTCTGGTAAGATCTCTCCTAAGCGGGGAGGAGGGCAAGGGATGCCTGCTTCGGAAAGAGCAGTTATTAGGACAGACTTTCTAAGACGGAGCAAAGAATCCATCGTGTCGGAGGTTCCACGGAACAATGACCCTCCTTACTTTTACAAACAAATAAGTTCTCAGGGAGTGAAACAAAGGAAGGGAGCCTGTAGAGTCAAAGTTCCTGGAGAGGGATCTTAAATGTAACGGGTAGATGTCATTGGGGGCCCGATTTGAGTAACCACCTGTAAAAATCAGGAGAAATGAGGGCATTTGATTACTGGCTGGATATTTGATATTAAGGAATTGTTCATTGCTTTAGGCATGATAATGGTGTTGTAGTTACGATTTTAAAAAGTCCTTATCTTCTAGAGATACCTACTGAAGTATTTATGTATCAAGTGTGTCTGGAATTTGCTTCAAAATAACCCAGTGTTGGTGGTGGGAAGTGGTGGGGGAAGAGATGAAACAAGGTTGGCCATGTATAGGGGGCAGCATGCCCTCGGCAGCAGATTTCGCAGGCTCTTACTGCATCTGGGTCCCCTGCCTGTGGTGTACCCACCGCATGGAGTGACGAGCCAGGCTGTAGCGGGGTCCTCTGTGTTGGTGTTGCCAAAGTGTTGCCTCAGGAAAACTCATGATCAGAGTCCTTTTTCCTGAACAAAACCAGTCAGCATCTCATTCTAGATGTTGCGAGGCTTCTTTGGCTCCAAATACCAAAGGGGATCTCATTGTTTGGGGGCTCTTAGGCGAGAGTGTCAGAAAAGAATGTCAGGGAAGAATCTGGACAGTGACCAGGAGGCCAAAGGAGAACCAAGAGCAAATGAGCAGATGTTTCACCATGTTCTGGACTCACCACGCGGGGGAGGCACCCTGTCCTCTCCCGTCCCCAGAGGTCCATTTTGTTGCTTAGTCTCACTATTTACCTGTAATTTGCTGAAACAGGTTTTCAGCGCTGTCCACAAGGAGGACTCTGGGCAGTATTACTGCATTGCCTCCAATGATGCCGGCTCAGCCAGATGTGAGGAGCAGGAGTTGGAAGTCTGTGAGTTACTTTTTGAAAAGATTTCATCTGGGGACTGGCAAGTAAATGGGACACTTCAAATTTTAATATTATACCATTAGTTTAGAGAACTTTTCTGCCATGGGATGGCTTTCTCCTGGAGATGACTGGATCCACCAGAACCCACTTGGGTACATTCAAGGGAAAGATGAGAAAGTTCTGAGTAACAGCTAAATGACTAATAAGTGGGTTCTTGCAATATGTTTATCTCCTCAAAATAGACTTTCTAGAGTCATCTGGTGTTGGAGACATGGCTAATCTGGTAACTTTTAACTGAGTTTAATAAACTCCATTTCGTTGATAAGTGATAGAATTACCAAAACATAAGGTTGTGTACAGTCTCCAGAAGTTTATCCAGTTATAATCATTTTGCAGTAAGCTGAAAACCAGAGTTTTAGTCCCAATAATTTTACCCTGTTCTGTGATGACACTGTCTCTGGAGTATTGGTTCTAAAGGTAAGGTGTCATGGGCAGGATGGGGGCAGATAGGGTGTATCCTCTGTACATGTGGCCACCCTCTAAAGCAGTGTTCTCCAGGCTTGCCTGATCCTAAGAGTCCTTGGGGAGCACTGCTTCACGTACAGAGGCCAGGGCCCCACCCCACACATCTGGAAGCAGGCTTGGGAGGTGTGGAGCTGTGTGTTTCTGACACGGCATCCGGGGATTCTTCTCATCTGTCGAGTTTGGGCAGCTGCTCTGGGGCAGGAGGAAGCTCCCTGGGCTTAGCCCAGACCTGTTGATTCTCCCGGGATGGAGCCTGGGAACTGACATTTTAAAGTCAGAAGTTCAAGTTGGTTTTTAAATGTCTGTCACATTCGAGCGCCATTGCACTAGGGTAAGGGGGAATTTTAACAACTCCCAAGGTAGGCGGCTTTTGTTGACATGTCCCCTGCATATTTGCCACCGCATTTTTATTTGCACAAAGGAAGCAGCCCCTGGCACCCCTACACCGAAGGGGAGCAAGCACCTTTGCCCAGTATACAGACGAGAAGAGGGTTTATAGAGATGAGGCCAGGCAGCTTGTGGAGTGAATGTCACGTTCTCACCTCATATTTTTTACTTTTAAGTACTGTTTGAAACTAGCTCTTTTTCCCCCTAATTTAATCCACAGCAAAGCCCTGAAAATTAGGCATTTTTTTCTTCCTTAGGACTCCTGGCTCCTAATAATGTCTTTCTAATGTGACCATTTCCTCCATTACTAATATTCTCAGGGATTTAGCCAGAGGATTTGTAAGCCTTTTGTATAGTGCCAAGGCCCTTTCTCTCTAGTACTGAAGTATAACAGACTTGAAGTGTACAGGTCTTCGTACTTTTACAAGTGAAACCAGGGGTTATGGGGTCCTCTATATTCTAGGCTAGGCGTGTAGTGTTCCCATTTTGCTCTTCTGGCTGGGGTAGGCATGAGGGGACAGCATGGAGTGGAAGGAGAGGAGGGAAGGGGGAACAGTGGGGTCAGAGGCTTTTGTAAGAACAGAGAGTGTGTATCATCTCTTCCCTCGAACCTCCTTTTCTCCAGATGACCTGAACATCGGTGGAATTATCGGGGGGGTTCTGGTTGTCCTTGCTGTACTGGCCCTGATAACAGTGGGCATCTGCTGTGCATACAGACGTGGCTACTTCATCAACAACAAACAGAATGGGGAAAGGTGAGCCTGTCTCAAGTAAAACAAAACAGTGTTCAAGTTGGCATTAATATGATAAGTCAGTAGTCACTGAAGTACTCTCTTTTCCTATTTCACAGTTACAAGAATACAGGGAAGCCAGATGGAGTTAACTACATCAGGACAGACGAGGAGGTACAGAGTGAGGGAACCAAGCAGAAGCCATTTAGGAAACCTAGAAATCGAGGTGTTCCCAACAGGGAAAGTAACATTCTTCCTCGGAACCCAAGTGACTCCTATAGGAAAAAAGGTTTCTGAATCATATTCCAGACCCTGAGCTCTTGAGCCCTTCCCAATAACATATATACACACTAGTGAAATCCAGTTTGCAAGCTCTAGTAGATGTTACTTTTCAAGAACTGTTATTTCACTTGATTTGTTTGGCCCCAAGTTTCTTCTTCAAGGAAATGGTGCGTTCAATTTGACCCCTGTCCCAGTAGGGTCCCCCTGATTGGTAGAGGGTGGCCGTGTTCTAACTTAGTGTTGGCCTTGCAGGGTGACTTCAGGCACAAGTCATCCTTCGTGATCTGAACCTGCGGTGTGGCTGAGAGAGCACATGCAAATACCTCCAGAAATTCCCATCAAGGGCAGCCCAGGAGCAAAGTGCACTTGGACAGAACTACCACTCATGCAAAAGCTTTTTGTTTTGGCCAAAGTTGACTGCTACTCCTTTCTTACTTTTTAACAAGCCACACAAATAAAAGAATTTTCCTCAAGATGGGCACGGTCATCACAAGGAAGAGCACCTGAATGAGTGCACTGAGGCTGGCTGCCAGGCTGTCTCTGCCCCGCTCCCACCTGAGTGGAGGGGATTCGAAGCTTTTGCTCACGTCGACTCTGCAGCTGGGCACTGTGGGCCTGTGAAGCCACTCGCTATTGTCAGCCAGGTGAGCCCCATGCAAGGTGACAAGATTACCATGTAGTGCCAGCATTGTAGGGGTTGGAAACCTGAATCACAGCATGAAATCCTACAGCTGCAGTCGAATCGGTGAATCCGGAAAAGAGGCTGTTTACACAATGACCCGTCTCCCAGTGGCCCACACACAGCACCTCACCGTTTCTTCTTAAAGGCTTTGTTGATCAACACTGCCATGTCCATCTTACAGAGTCTTTCTGGATCAGCATTTTATAAAAACAGCCAAAACCAGGAAGAAGATGGGGTCTTTTGACCCACAGGGACTCTGCCTGTCCATGCAGGGTTTCAGTATTTAGGGAAATCCTTCATTTTTGGCTCAATCTGAAATGGTACTGAAATAATGTTCTGCTTTTCTCTGGGTGTTTATTTTATAAAATTTTACATTCTAAATTTTTGCTAAAGATGTATTTTGATTATTGAAAAGAAAATTTCTATTTAAACTGTAAATATGTTATAAAATGTTAAATAACCTATTTTTTTAAAAAAAGTTCAACTTAAGGTAGGAGTTCCAGGCTACTAGTGTTAAATTCGAAAATATCAATTCAGAGTATTTTAACCCAAAGAATCCTCTTAAGGAGGCTTAATGGAACATTCCTTTTGCCCCACGTAAGTTTTAGCATTTTTCACAAGAAAACTTATGCCACGTATACATGAGACCATTGTTGCTTGGGAAACCTTGAAACAATTCCAGTTGAGTAATGTTGAAATCTGTTTCCATCTGTCAAAAAGAAACAAAAGGAGCTCTTCGGTTAGCTCTGAACTGCCTCTTCCCTAGATTACTAAAACTACCTATGCCCAGACCGTCCAGAAGTACTCAGATGTACTCTGTTGGTCAGCTCCCGGGGCCAAGTTGGATACCCTACCTAAGTTGGTGTTGGCTACTAACTTCGAAGGCCAGCCAGCGTGTCCACTGCCGTCTTTAGCCCCCGACTGTGGCTTTGTGTGATTAGCTTTAACAGGGTTGTTCCTGTGCCACGTGCACTTGGTTTAGCCCAGGGCCAGTCTGAGGTGGACACTTCAGGAAAGGTGTGTGTGCTCTGTGGCGGCCTAGCCTTTGGGTTCCTGTGACAGAGCTCTTTTGGTCGGAGGGCCCACAAAACAAAGCAGCTACTGCTATGTGGTTTTTCAATTCATTTCACTTATTTGTGTGCTTCATAAGACTGTTCAGGGCCAAAGGCGGTTTTGAAATCCAATCTGTTGACTACAGTAATAATTTTTAAAGAAAATGAATTCTCCCATCCCTCTTTGCTGTGAAGAAGGTGCTGAGACACCGCCGGTTGTGTCTCATTGACAGTCCACCTATTATGTGGCGGCAGCCAGGTCAGCCTTCTGAAGACCATCAGGCAGTGCAGCTGGGGCAGAAATCCTGACAGTGAGGAAAGTAAGATGCCTGCATCAGAGGCCATTTTCTAAGTCTGATTTAAAGTTTTTATCTACCCAGACACTGCTGTGTACTTTGTGGGGACATTAGAGACATCACTCAAAGCCTTTGTTCTTTAAGAGCAGATGTTCGTAGCCTTAGACACGTTGCTGTGTGGAACTCATGATGTGAAGTGGTTTGAAGCGAGGAGCTTCTCAAAAGGAGCGCCTCCAGTTCCACTGTGTGCTCAAAGGGTGGTTTCATGTAGGACAACACAGTCATCTTGGGATTAAACTTTCAGTGTCTTAACTTTTTATACTTTTTTTTTAATTGAATACTTGAGACTGATGTTGACTTTTCTAAGTTATGTGAAATACTTTGCCCTGGGGTATTTGGCAGAAGCAGTGGGCAACTCTTTGTAATTATTTAATGGTACCTATCTTCTTCTGCATTTGTGTCTTGAATGCTTAGACTTAAGACTGTCCCTTCATCTCCCCTCCCCTTGGTAGAAAGGCAGAGCTCCCCCTCCTCTAATTGTCGGGCAGCAACACTCTGGCCTCCAGCTGGCTGTCATAGTGATGGGGAGGCCTGTCGCCTCCCTCCTTGCACCGTAGAACCTCCTGCCCTAGTGCCCTGGGAACTGGGTCTGACGGAGCGGAGAGAAGTGAGCACGGAGTCTGGGAAGCGGTTGTAGACAGAGAAGGAAGCCTCACCTGTTTGTAAGATGAGAGTGTGACTGAAGACTCGAGGCTGTGCAAAGCTGTTAATGGCCTTTGGTGTGGCTGTTGTTGTACACAGATATTAGACTTGTACTAACACACCTGTAAGTTGGTATTTGTTAAACCTCATTTATAAAAGCTTTAAAAAAAATCAACTTTGCCTCATTGTTCCTCTTTCTCATTTGCTCTCATGTTGTTGGGTTTACCTCTTCTTCCTAGCGTTTTGTTTGTTACACAAGTGTACTTAGAATGGCATAGTCCTGCATTTAAAGAGACTGCCACGACCATCTACCCGAGCTGGAGATAAGTCTGTTCACTCAAGCGGCTCGGTGACCCCCTCTACCAATGATGCATCCACGCATGTGCCAGTTCATAAATGGGAGAGCTATGGGTGGATCACAATGACAATCCACCCCTCAAATCCAGCTACCACATTTCTATTAAAAAGTAATGAGCCTGTACTTTTGCTTCAATAGTATTGGGATTAAAAAGTGAACCAACTGAATTCCTTTCTGGTCATTTGTGGACAAAACACACATACATGTGTTTTAAGGTTACCTAATGGTGCCAACAGAAGTGACCAAAGTCTTCCCCGTCATGGGAGCATCCCCAGCAGACTGTTCACACAAGCCAGCGTTAGAGCCGCCCTGGGTAAGGACATGAAGCCGGTTCCCACGATTGGCGCTGCATGTATCCACTAAGTACGTCTGCTCTGAGGAGGAGATAGCGTCTGATCAGGGACAAAGGCAGGGGGACAGACAACTCGAACCTTACAGACAAACTGAGTCAGTGTTTTCCTAACAGGAAAGATTTGGTTTTATTATTCCTATGTACTTTATGTAAATTAAAATGACTACCAATAAAAGTCTTGTTCTAAAATACTAGGAGGCTATATTTATGCTTAACCTTTATTATTCTGTTTTAGAAAGCTGTAGACTTTTGAAAAATCTACAATTTATAAATAAGGAGAAAAAATATTACAATCAAAATCTTGTCATTAGAGATGGGAACCAGGTACTGTCAGGAGTCAAACCAGCTAACAGCATGATTTATATAAGAGAAAGCAGACGTGCTGTGTTCCTCAAGGACCAGAAGACAGCTTATCAGAATGGACTTGATACTTTCAAATGGAGTAAATAATAATATTAAATAGCTAAGGCATTTCTCTATTACTTTACAATTTTTTACCACATATTTCATAAAGAGAAATTTAGAAGACTGGCCAGCTCCTCAGGTGAACAATGAGAGAGTGCTGGAACCACGAGAGGCAGCTCTGACCTCACGGCACGAGAGCGTCCTCGGTGTGAGGGAAGCGAGGCGCCTGCCTTTCCACGCGGAAACAAGGCTGCGCCCTCACAGCTCCTGCCTTCCCGATGCCCCCTGGAGCGCACTGTTTCAGTTGGCTGTTTTCAGGGGGGTCTTTCGGAGCGACCTCCTACTGGGGGCTGTGTTGTCCTTATTTCTGGCTGGAGACTTGACATTCCACTGCTGAGACTGTGGAGGCCTGAGGGAAAGAAAAGATGCAGTCATTCTGGAACTAAAACAAAAAACACTGATAAAACATCTACCTCAAAAGGAACGCTTGGTAAACTTACGGTTTATCAGGTAATGATAAACATAAAATGTCATTTTCTTGACTCTGGGCTTCAATTTTCTCTGAAAGGGAGTCAAACAAACACATTCAGATTTCCCAGAACTCCCAAGTGCCTCACGTGTCTGACAGAAAGGGAACTTACCTTTGACTGAGGAAGGAGTCTGAGATGTGTCTATGTAGCTGACTCCTGCTCCAAATGTGACATCATTGATGGTCTCTGGGTGAAGGGGGAAACAACACAGTTAACGAAAAGCGGTAAAGACAACATCACGTCAAGTCACCCGAGCAAGGCCAGTCACGGCACCTCTGCTGCAGTCTCATCCAGTCTCTACAGCAGGACCCGAGTGCTGTCCAACCCAGCGGCCTGTCAGTCAGGCCTCAATTTCTGTGACCATTTTGCAGGACGCGACAGTGTTGAACACTCCATCCTCCTGGAAACGTCCCTTCCTCACGTCCATGGTCTCCTGACTTCCTCTTTCTCTGACCACTGCCCCGCTTAGACTGCTTTGCTGGCCCCTGAGCACCCACAGCTTGCTGTCTCTGGCTTCTCACCCACTCATGGTTTCGATTAGTGCCTATACGCCAGAGACCCCCAGCTCCAGCTCAGACCTCCCTCTGGAGTCCGACTTCTACATTTCCTATTGTCCCCCACCTGGATTCCCTGAAGATGCTTCACCAACTTGTGACCCCTACTCTTCATACATGCTCCTTCTAGATTCCTATCCAATCATCTCCCCAAGCTGGATACTCCAGGCATCATTAGCTCCTTCTCCACATCCAACAGTAACTGATCCCATTACCTCATTTTCCTGCTGTCTCATTCGCTTACCACCTCTGCTACCTCACGACGAACGTCCAAGCTCGCCTTGCCTTGATCTATCAGGGTCCCCCACTTACAGCCTCCCCTTCTTCCAGGTCACCCTTGGGAGACAGGAGAGCAGAGTACAAGAACACAGACTCTGGGCTTGAGTTCTGGCTCTGTGTCTTATTAGTTGTGTGAACTACTCTAAGAACTTCAAGTTTCTTGATCTCTAAAATGGGACATGTCCATGGTCCCCTGACCGTGGTAGGCACCTACCTCACGGGAGTTGTCAGGATTAAACGAGATTTTTTATGTTAAATCCTTAACACAGTACTTGGTACAAGGTAACTGCTGAAGAAATGTTAGCAGCTATTGTAATTTATTAGCTATTATCCCCTTTGTCACTGGAGTTAAGTTTGTTTGGCGATCTGGTGAGGTTACTGCCCTGCATAAGCATCCTGGCAGTTCAGTGTTTAGAGGAGGCCTCAAGCGCAGCCTCTGTCTGAGCTGGGCATGACGGCCTTTGTGCACGCCAGCCCCACACACCTTTACAAACCGCCTGCCGCATGCACACTGTGGGCCCCCCATCCAGTCCTCACTGCTCTCGGCAGGCCCTGCTCTGTCACACTTGGCTCTGCACATGCAGTTCCTCCTGTCTGGAGGGCCCTCCCTGATCCGCTCCAACATACCATCCCTTCTTTGAGACCTGGTGGTGACCCTCTGCCGGGGGCTTGCTCCCTCCTTTGTGCCCTGTACTGTTCTGCAAGAGCTGCTATTACTACACTTGTCTAACGGAGCACAGCCTCAACAGCTGAGTGCTGACCGTCCTGCCAGAGCCTGCCATCCTCCTGCAAAAACGCTTCTTACCTTTCTCCCCGCCACAGTATAACCTTCTTAGGAGGACCGATTAGATCTTTCTAGTCTACATCTGAAAGTCCATCACTGCATCTGCAGTGTGCTATGTGCCTGAGCGCTACTCAGGCTACGTTAACAGACAATGACAGAGAACTGTATTTTCATCACCGCCATTCGGAGAGCTAGGTTCCGCTCATTCCCGTTTCTGGGAGGTCCCTCTTGTGCTGCAGTTGCAATTCCCCCTTCTTACATATACATTCCTTTTCCTGTTTGGAAACCTAGGCACATCCAGGTCCTAAGTCTCCAACCTTCACAGAAGCGCCTGTGCAGTAGCTCTTAGATCCCCGTGCACTTAGAATCAAAGACAGAAGCACTCTGCTGCCCGAGTTAATGGCAATAAGAGGGAATTGCTAAACCACCTACAGAGTCTCAGTTAAAATCTAGCTCTGAAAATTATTCATTTCCATCCACCAAAACCACTTCGTTCAGGCTGAATGCCACTGGGGTGTGGAATGGTGGGGCTGGGCAGCATTTTTCCTACTGGCTTTGCAGAGCTTAGACCAATTCCGACAGTTACCCCATCTAAGAGCTGTCAACAGAATTTGTATTTATAAAGCACAGAGAAAACAGAACTGAAGGTTTTTAAGTTATCTAATAATTCTCCCAGGAGGGAGAGATAATAGGAACCCTTCTTCAAGTATTTCTTCCTGATTCAGAATAAGGAGAGATGCCCAGGAATTTTACATTCAAGAGCCTAGAAAAAGAAAAAGTACTCTAGTGATCTGCAGACACCTGAGAGTCTTATTTTCAGTGCCACAATGGCTCACACATGCAAATCCAAGCAGCATTAATGCCGTGTGCCACGGTTCGCTGCTGAGGAAGGCACGCTAGGAAGGCAACCGAAGACCGAAATCAGAAACTCGGGGACGAGTGCATCTGAAATGAGAGGCATTCTCCCCATTTCTGCAGCATATGGTACCTAACGGCCAAAACAGAAGCACTTGGTGCCCCTGAACTAGGAACAGAGAACATGGAGAAAACTTTTCTGTTTGAAAGACGTTGAATTGTTTAGATATATAAAATAACAACTGTTCAATATAAGGGAACCCAAATTACCCACTGCTTTAAAGCTGTCATTTCAGCTGTCATCAGAGGAGAGGTGGGGTAGGAGTTCTGCTCATCCATTAATATCCCTTTTTTTTAAAAGGAGGACTGGGATGAAAATTATCTATAACCAGCAAATATTCCAGGAGATCACAGCATTGAAGGTAATAGAACCACAAAGCAAGTAGCTAGAACACAGCAGATGCCCAATAAATGTGTACTGACCGAATGCACAACTTAATGAACAGTTTGATACTTTGATGCTCCGTTATTATAAAGAAGAGCATCATAACACTATTCTCCTCTTTTGACACCCCAGATTAGCACTGTGGGAAACAGGGCTGTAGAAGGAACACAGAAACTGGAAGCAGAAAACCAGAGTTCAAGTCACAGCTCTGCCATCCATGTGATCACTAACAAGCATCTGTTGCACACCTCTCATGTTCCAGGCACCGTGGGAGGCCCAGTGGCCCTGGCGAAGAGTAAAACAGCTTACAAACTAACAGCAAGGGCAGACCAGGAGTTACTCAGACGTAAGGCGAGTCCTGCTGAGAAGGCCAGAGAGCCAGGGAGGGGCCCACCCGAGTGTGAAGGTCAGGGAGGGCTTCTACAGGGTGAGAAGGTGACAACTCGGAGGAGGCGGCATTCTAGGATGAGGACGCGGCGCGTGAAAGCCGAGTCAGGGAAGAGCAAGACTTGTGCAGGCAGTGGAGAGGCGCCCTCAGCAGGATGCAGAGCGAGGGGCCAGCGGAGGAGGACCCGCCAGGCAGGGCCTTCCAAACTACACTACAGACTCTGCA